AATCCAGTGGGCCATCCTCTGCTTAGAGACGGCATTCCCCTTCTGCCGGCCTCCGTAACAGACAAAGAGCTGGTCTGAGGTCCTAAAGCTTTCTGTCCGGTCTACATAGCATCTCAAGGCTCGGACGGGACAGAGCAAAGATAGGGCTGGGTCTGCCTCCTCTGGGGGCAGCGACCTCAGTTCTGGGAACCAGGTCCGGGTAGGCCAATAGTGTGCCACCAACCGGACCTGCTCCTCGTCCTCCCTGACCTTACACAGCGTCTGTGCGAGAAGGCTCACTGGGGGAAACGCATACTTGTGCAGGCCCTGCAGCCAGCTGTGTGCCAGTGCGTCCATGCTCCCTCGGTCAGGGAGTAGAACAACTGGCAGTGAGAGGTTTACCTGAGCGGTTCCGAAACGTCTCCAAATCAGCTGGACCATCTGGGGATGGAGTCTCCCGGAATGTGAATGGCACGAAGTGACCTCAGAACCTTCCGACTCCAAAGGAGGAGGTGGCGGGCGAGTTGCGACATGCGACGGGAGCGCAGACCACCTTGTCGGTTGATGTACGCAACGGTCGCTGTGTTGTCCGTTCGGACCAGCATGTGCTTGCCTCGTAAACACCCTTTGAGACTGTTCAAGGCAAGGCAAAATAGTTTCAGTGGGACCGCTGTCCTGCCCTTGAACGAATTCAAGCAGTTCAGCACCAACTGCGCACGTTCCTCTGTGAGGCGAGAAAATAGATCCTCTGCGTCGGGGAGAGTTTGCTATTTTCCCAGTTGACCCGAAGACCCAACTGGCTGAGGTGCCGAAGCACCGGATCCCTGTGTTCGCACAACTGAATCTGAGACTGTGCTAGTATAAGCAACGTGAGGCCGATGGCAGGGAAAAACAAAACAAAAGATTCTCCACCCGGCCCTTCTCCGGGGGAGGGAGTGGTGCGTTCACCATCTCCCAAAGAGCAGATCCCTCCATCTCTGGGTTGCCCGTCTCAGGGCCGCTTGCTCTTCCGCTTGCCGCCAGGTTTGGCGGGGGCCTGGACGGGCTGGGCGGCCTGCCTACGCCCAGCTCCACGGCGCTGCTTGGGTGGAGGCTGCTGCGCGGGAGCGGGGGCGGACGCAGGGGGCCGCCCTTGGCGGCGAGCAGGCTGGGGTGCTCCGGCCGGCAGGCGGGTGGAGGCAGCAGCTGCCCGCTGGGGCAGGATGCGTCGAATTGCCTCAGTCTGCTTCAAACATAAGCCTTTTACTGTTAAATGCGATTGCCGTTATTATTGAATTTCATTAGTCCCAGTTTTGATTGA